TAGTGAAGAAGTAGAGTTGTTGGTAGCCAACTATTGCCCTTGCCCTTCTAAGCCGAGGAAGGGTCTTAAGGAGAAATGGAGTGTTTGTTGGTTACTTGAATACAATTCCTTCCAATCATCCTCCAAATGGGTGGGGGTGGTGGGAAGGGAAAAGAAGGTAAGGAAAGGCGCCATGGGTAGTTTCCTAACACATCACCTCTATTAAATGGAGAAGTTGGGAATAAAAAAAATATAAGGTTATTTGAGAGAAGGGCATAATTGGATGCAACATTACTAAGCTCTCTAGCGTATTAAATTGCTATGTGTTGTTATTTCAGAAAGAGACTTTGAGTGAGGTAGAGAACATTGTTTAAAATTGCGCAATATGAGGTTCGCCTTGAGGCCCGCCTCCACGCAATTCCAGTAAAAAATGCCTCAAGGCTTATGCCTCGAGCTTTTTTTTATGAGGCTTACGCCTCATCTTGGATGAGGTCCGCCTCGCCTCGCTGGCATGAGGTAGGCATTACACCTCTCTCTCTCTCTCTCTCTCTCTCCTCCCTCTCCCTCTCCTCTCTCTCTCTTACTTATATATATATATATATATATATATATGATAATATATTATATGACGCTATATATATATTTAATATATACTTAATCCTATAACAAAACTCCTCAAATTACAAGTCAGCCTTTCTGCAGCCCAAATAGCCGCAACAAACTTCTCTCAACCACCTCACTCATAGCACCACCCGAACTAGCCTAGGCGCAGGGTCACTGAGCGCACTCACCCACTTCTCCTTTATCTGGCTTATTATAATAGTATATCTTTTTGTGATGACGTGACATTTATTAGAAATGGGACCATGTAAAATCCATATGTATGAAGGATAAATGTACCATAGTAAGAAAAAAATAATGGGTATGCCCATTTTCAGTCTTCCCTTTATGAAATAACGGTAGACAGTTAAATTATGAAAATTAATTAAACATAGTTATAATTTAACACAGGATATTATAACAATTCAGTATTAATTGAATTTTAATAACTTAGTATAACTTCAAATTATTAATAGATTAACACGTATTATTTAATTTGTATAGTTTATATATTTTAGAAATAATAACAAATAATAAAGTTAATTAAAAAATACGTTCTCTTTATGTCTATAACTTATG